GGGGGGGAAACAATCAGGCTGCACATTAGGTTAAAAACATATTATTACCGGATACCTCAGGATATTTTAAAAAAAAATATTCAAAATAAAGTTGCTAGTAATGGCAAATCAATTGATCAACAAACGAAGAGGGATAGTAGAGAGCAACGAGTGACTAGCTCCCCTTAAAGTTTACTATACAAATATAGAAGTCTAAAAATAAGATAGAGGGCTAAGATTACTTGCAAGTTAGGTAATATAGAAAATTATTTGGTATAACAGAGACCGGGTTCAACCTGAAAGATAGAGAAATGCCTTCTGAATGCAACATACAGGGTTATAAACTATTCCACACTGACAGGGCCCAACAGGAAGGGGGTGGAGTGGCGATGTATGTAAAAGAAAATTTAAATTGTCTTAGTTATGATATAAGATTAGAAACATCGAACACAGAATCTGTTGGCTACAGTTTCTCGGGGGACGTGACAAATATATTTTGGGTGTGATTTATAGGTCCCCAAACCTTGATACGGATTTGCAGTAAGCTGTTAGGGGACGAAATCATAAGCCATATAGATATGAAAATGCTGTGATAATGGGAGTTTTTAAAACTTTAGACAAACTGACTGGAACAATATGACAGGAAATCTTGAGTCTAGTGACTTTCTTGATACGGTTCAGGATTGTTTTTTAGAACAAGTTGTGACAGAACCAACTAGAGAAACAATCGCTTGACATGGTTCTTGCCAACAAATACTCACTAATTAATAATCTTGAGGTTAATGAAGAGCTTGGGAAAGTAATCACAAACCACTTAGTTTCAATATATCATGGAATTACCCAGATAACTGCAATCAAACTCTGTCTCAGATTCGCTTCGCCGACTTCATGGGACTGAAAAATTACCTGGGTGGGCTAAATTGGGATGTCCTGACTATGGGTCAGGTAGGTGATTTTGGGTTGAAAAATAAACGTTTTTCAGAGCATAGTTCTAGCTCCCCAGACAACTTTTGTTCCGATAGGGAAATTAGATCTAACAAAAATGAACCTAAATGTATGAACAATAGATTAAAACATCTCATTGGTCAAAAAAAGAGGCATATAAAGGCATATCAAAAGAGAGGAAGGTCAATTAAAAATCAATATATTCAATTAAAGAGGAGAAAATAAAAAAAGGGAATAAGAAAAGCAAAATGGGATTAAAGGGTAAGGGCGCAAGGGATTTTAAAGAATAAAACCCCAAAAAAGTTCTTTCAGGGATACGGAAGTAAATTAGGGACAAGATTGGCCCACTAAGAGTAACTCTGGTCCCGATCACTGACAGTGATAAGGATATGTGTAAATTTTCAATACCTACTTCCTCTCAAATTTTCCACCCAGAAAATACTAGCGATATTCCTGAAATAAAAGATTATGTAGAACAGGGTGATAATAAACTATGCACGATTGCGGTAACTAGTGACATGGTCCCAGACAAATAGAGAAACTAAAACCTAACAAATCCCCAGGTCCTATGAACTGTTTGCAAGGGTGTTAAAAG